GAGGGTTATATCGTAAGATGAACCACAAATAGGGACCTGATAAGCCTCAAAACATTTCAAAACATCTTGGAAGTTAGCACGCAAGATGTACGAAAACGTGATAAGTTTGAGGTCAATTTTGAGGATGACCTTGAACTTGATCTTTGATTTTAAGCACATGTTTGGAATTCTCAGCTTCTCTTGTTTCGTTTGACACCCAATTTTGCCGGTTGTATGCATCCTGTCGTCCTTAAGAACGCTTACTTTGAGATCACTACACATATGCCGGTTTGTGCCTTTGACCTTGACCTCTGACCTTGAAAATTGACCTGAGGTCAAAAATTTTAGATGCTTTAGAATCGTTTCGTAAGGAACTTTCGTTTGATATCGCGTTTGTTTCCGTAGCTCCCTTATTTACGGAGATAGACAGGGGGGAACGCCCCCCTCCCGGGCTGCAGTGGTTGGGATTACCCCGGGCCCGCCCGGGTTAAATGGAGATCCTAAGCTTATCATAGCCAATTGATTGGCTTTCATGAGATCAGACCCACTATCAGTCCGGTGTCTATGGGCCTGAGAGATATCGTACCTACAACTGCGCCTACAACCTAAATCTATCCTTTATATAGTTAGGTATAATGTAGTAGCGGTATTACACATGTTTAATTACATATGCTATTGAGAAAAAAAAAATGGGGGAAATGGTACCTATGGCCTACAGCTACCTATTGATTCTTTTTGGCTACCTATTGCCAAGTTTTTAGTAGACCTCCTCCACGCAGTGAGATCAGACATCGTTCATATCGTTTAACCCTATTCCTGGCGGGCTCCGCCGGGACAAGAAACTGGCGGGGGGGGGGGGCCGATTCGGCCCCCCCCCTGAGATCTCGAGAACGAAGCAAGATAGCGACAAGCGGTAAACGGCATCGGATACGCACGGCCAAGATCTACAATTTTTACTAAGGTCATTTTCAGGTCAGGTCAAAGATGACGTCACAGGGGTCGAAAAAGTCAAAATGGCGGCGCTAGATATGGAGAGAGTTTTTCTCGAATAACTTTCGAATTAGTCAAGATAGGAACAAACTAAGGGCATCATCGTGATCTTCTTGTCAATCCGCATCGAATGATATATATGTTGACCTCGAAAGGTCAAGGTCAAAGGTTGACCTCAGGTCACGTGACCTCGAGGTCATCATGTATATCATTCGATGCGTCTTGACGAGCTGAACACAATGAGACCATCCACGCGCCTGTATCTTGTTCCTGTACGGAGTTATTGGCCAAAAACCTTTGGTGACCTTTGATGACGTCACATGACCTCACAGCTGCCCAACAGCAAAACAGAGCTCAAGGTAGTGAAGGTTGATCGTATATGAAGTCATGTATGGTATATGGGGCCATTCCGACCCGTTTTAGTGGTAAAAACAGGGAGTCGATTTTTCCCCCATTGACTTATAATGGGGAGGTCGCGAAATTGACCTGACCTTAGGTCACCGATATCAAAATTCAGAGATATACAAATTGCACATACTGGTACCCTAACTAAACCCTGAAGAGAAGAAATTGATCGGTCAAAAACTCTAGCTCTGGCGTGATTGCAAACTTTTCTGAGGTAGGGTCACCAAACCGCCTCTGGTGACCTGACCTGAGGTCAGATCAACTCAAAATTTTCAGACATGTTGCGTAGAAGCCTTTTAGGAAAAGTCAGAAAATTTGAGCTTCCTAGCTCAACGCGTTTGGGAGAAATAACCAAAAAACCTCAGGGGGGGGCTCCTGAGGCCCCCCCCCCCCGCCAGGAATAGGGTTAAACTTTCGACATGTATTTGAATATCTTTGCCTAATGTCGTATTGTTATCGACCGTATCAAATCGCCCAGAACGAAAATTGGCTTAGAACATTAAATCGTTCAGATCGTTCGTTCCGATTGAAACTCCCGAATGAACGATTTCAGCGTAACGGTAGGTATATGATTTCTGGCTAAGGTGTGCAAAAACACCGAATGCTCTAACGATTTAACAAACTCTGAAAAATGTCCTGGTAAGACCCTGTTCATTAGCTTCAACGGAACATACTGTGTACCTGCGTTGGAAAAGGCTTTATATTCATTTACATAAATACCAATCGTCCGCACTAATAGGAACCTAAGTTTATTTTGATCTCTGTCCTTCACTCATCCCACCTAATTCAAAGTGCTTAACGAAAAAATGACTGAACAGCCCCTTTTTCCTCCCAAGTCTCTGGGTGCTCATGTGCGTTAGCTAAAAGAATGACCAATGACCATGCAATGCATTATGTATTAGGTTCATACTTCTCATCAGCAACCGGACGCGGATGGACATGCAGTTGTTATTGAACATGAGTTTGGTGGTAAATTTGAGCCTAGGTATATAAGGCATATAAATTAGAAACATCCCTTCCCTGGAATGCCATTAATCCCTTCCCTGGAATGCCATTAATGTGGCGGGTGCGTTTAATGTTGGTGATAGTGATTTACCGTTCCACTGATACCTATCATTCGCATCGCTTCGTGAGTTCTCTCATGTGTCAAGGTACTATTTCAGAAGTAAAAACACAACAGGTACACAGTCAGATTGTATTTCAGTTTCATCAATCAATTTCCACGCTGCTGTTTCATCGGTTTGTGATAATTTAGAAACCGAAGCGTGGCCCGTAAAGAATAACTGCGCTCAACTGGAGTTTGTGGCCGAGACCCGGCTCCGTGAGGACCCGTCCTCATCACGAGCCGTCCTCTGAGACGCTCCTCACACTGCTCCGCCGCGCCCTCCGCCCTCTTCCCTCCGGCCCCGTCAATAAGTTAGCGAGCCGCCGCCGCGCCGGCCGGCCGGCCGCTCATTTGCCGTACTGGAGCTGAACGGTTGGCTCCGGGTAGCTGTAGCCGCACTTGCCCTCCACGGTCTGGGTGACGGTGGTCTCGCGGTACTCTGGCCGGGTGACGCTGACCACCTTCTGCACGGGCCGCTGCACGGTCTCGGTCCGGTAGACTGTGGTGTAGGTGTCCGGCAGCTGCACGGTGCTCGTCACGTACACGGGCACGGTACGGTACTCGGTGCGGGGCGCGTCCTTGATGGTCACCACCTGCGTGGTCTCCTCGTACTGGGTCTTCGGCACGTAGCGCGTGCTCTGCTCGTACTTGGTCTGGGCCTGTGGAAGGGGCGGTGGTCAGTCGACGGCAGGGGCACATGAAACACAGCGCACATCGCCCGCAGTTGAGCTGTGGTCAGAGAGCGAGGCTGAATTACACACAGGAAGTGTGTGGCAATGTGACAAGGGGCAGTCGCCATGGAAAAGGTGACACGAATCTAACTCCCTAGTGGATCCGTCACCACAATGCTGCTTTGTTATGCTTTCACAGTAAACAAACGGCTCTGACTGATTATCAGATGTCCCTTTCCTCTGCGAACCGCGCTGCTAGTTTTCACAATGACGGTTCTCCCTTTTCGCTGAGGCGGATATGATTACGTGTCGATCATATCAGGGGAGGCGGCCTTTGTCTAGCTCCTACACCCACCCTGCCAGCCCACACACCGCCGCAGTGACACCCCAACCCAGAGATAGGTATTCCAAACAACTTTCCGGTGACGTTATAGGCCTCTCCTTGGTGATGTCACAGACACAGCTGGCCAGTTTAGGAGCGCCATCAGGCGCAGCGAACCGAAAGCCAACCGGCACAGCCCCGTGACTTGACGGTGACGCTCCCCGTGACCCCAGTGAACAGCCGTGACCCTCTGCGACCCCGTGACCTCAGTCGGCTCACCTGTGCGACAGTGGTGTACTGGACGTTGTTGCTGGTGACATAGTTGGTCTTCACCAGCGGCTGGACGCGGGTGTTGGTGTAGTAGACGGGCACGGCCACGGTGGTGTAGCGGGAACTGAGGCGCACGTCCGTCACCACCTTGGTCTGGTAGACCACGTCAGTCTTGGTGGCCGTCACCGTCACCGCCGGCAGGTACTGGGTCTTGACGATCTCGTTCACCTTGGTCTGTGTCTTGGTCACGTAGACGGTCTCTGCCGGCAGCACCACGGTGCTGACGTACGTGCTGGTGATGTAGTCGGTGCGGTAGGCGGTGCTGGCCGGGCCCGGCACGCGCTGCGTGATGGTGGTGGTGACGTACCGCGGCACCTCGACCGTGGAGCGCACGTAGGCCGTGCTGACCGCCTCGCGGTAGATAGTGGTCGGCTGGTAGGCGGTCTTCACCACCTGGCGCACCTGGGTGCGCGTCACGTACCGCGTGATCGTCTTGTACACGTTGTTGGTGATGTACTGGTCGGGCAGCTGCACCTGGCTCGTCACCACCTGGTCGCGCACGTAGGTGCTGGTGGCGCTTTGCACCACCGTCTTGGGCACGTACTCTGTGCGCAGCACAGTGCGGTACACGTACGAAGGCACCACATTGGTACGCGTCACGTACGTGGTCTTGTACTCGGGCACCACGCGCGTGCTGTACTCAGTCTTCACGTTGGTCTTGTACTGCTTCTCGACCACAGTTGTGGGGTACTCGATCTTGCACTTGGGGGCCTCGTAGTTGTAGCCGTCCGGCGCGGCGGCGGCGACCGAGAGGAGCGCGAGCACCAGCAGGGGCGTCATCCTGGAACACCGGCGGGGGGGGGGGGGGTGTCAGCGGACAGCTGCAACATCAGCGGACGGCAGCGAAGCGACCGACTCGAACAGACAAGTCAGGCTAGAAGGGCAGGTCTGGTCAGGACAGAGGGTTAGAAGGGCGAGTTGACTGGAATATTTGACTGGAATGGTCGGGAAGTGATGAAAGGCAAATGGGGTTGATCAAAAGGAATAAGTCGGCTGGGAAGATCAGGTTATTAAAAACACAGAGAGTGAACAGGATGACTAAGGGTTTCCCAGATACAAACCAAGAAGTTATTAAGCGCAACAGGTTCGTAACATTACAGAAATGAATTGTTACTCACCTTGTAAGGTTTTTGTAGTTGGCTGGGTGTGTATTGTGTAGTGGATGAAAGTCTGAAAGTGACGCAAAAAACAACGGAAATATTTGACAGACCATATATTTCACTCATGTACAGTACAAACGCGTAACAAATTTGGAGCGTTTGTCATATCAAATGAAGCATTTTCTCGACAATGAGAACCGGATCCACTCGTGTTGTTGATGTCTGTCGCCGCCCCAGCAGGGGCCTGATGTTTGCTGTTAGCGCTGCATCACGTTGGCTGGAAATTTCAGACTGGTACGCCAATAAATATCCCTCCGCTCCGGCCGGCCGCTGGGGACGACTGCGTCCGTCAGCGACCGGTCGGCCCCTCTGCGACCGGCCAGCCCGCCGACTGGCCGTCCGGATCCCCGTCTAGAAGCGGAGAGGGTTGCTGGGCTCGGGGTAGCTGTAGCCGCACGGCTTCTTCACGGTCTCCGTCTTGGTGGTGTACTGGGGCACCACGCGGGTGGCCGTGCTGTAGATGGTGGTGTAGTCGGTGACGGTTTTGTACTGAACCTGCTGGCGCACCTGGCCCGGCACCGTGCTGTACTGGACGCCCGTGCTGTACTTGGTCCGGTAAACAGGGTAGGCCGGCACGCGGCTGCTGATTGTGCGAATGTTGGTGACGGTCACCACACGAGGCACGTCCACAATCTGCGTCTTGGTGTAGTACTGCGGCACGTACTTGGTACTGTAGATCACCCGCGGCACCACCTGGGTGGTGTACTGAGTGCTCGTCACCGTCACCTCGACCGGCACGCGCTGCTGCACCGTCTTGGTGAGCACCTGGGTGCTGTAGCGCACCTCAGTGCGCACCACCGGCTTGGTCTGGTAGACGGTGCGGACGTAGGTCTCGGTGGGTCCCGGCACGGGCACGGTACGGTACACGCTGGTGTAGGCCGTCACGTACTTGGTGCGGTAGACGGCCGGCTGCTGGCGCGGCTCCACGCTGGTGCGCACCACCTGTTTCGTCTTGGTGAGGTACACGGTCGGGCCGGGCACCACCACCGTCGTCACCGCCTGCATGTACTTGGGCACGTACTTGCTCTCCACGTTCACCTTGGTGACGATGCTGGTCTTGACCAGGGTGGTCGGCTGCACCAGGGTCGTGTACACGGTCCGGTAGACGTCAGTCACCACCTCCTTGTTCACCGGCTTGGTGAGGGTGTTCTGAACGACGCGCTTCTGTCCGGGGATCTGGACGACGCTCGTGCTGTAGCGCAGCTCGGTTTTGGTGACGACGGCAGTGCGGTACACGTAGGTGGGCTGCTGGGTGACGACCGTCGACACGATCTCAGAGGGCACCACCCGCGACGAGACCACCTGTTTGGTGGTGTAGCGGACTTCGGGGCGCACCACGGGCTTAACCACAGTGCGCGTCACGTACTGCACCTCGGTCTTTGTGACGGGAGCCGGCGCCGGCGGACACTGGGGCGGCAGGTAGCCGCCGGGCAGATCGTACTGGGCCGAGGCGGCCGCCACAGCCAGCAGCACGAGCAGGGCGGTGCGCACCATCCTGAAACCAGAGCCAGAGCGGGGTGAGCGGCGGCAGCGGCGTTGGACTGGGCCAGATGACGAGCGGACGAGTCCAACGCTGTGCTCTCACCCCGCTCGTGCTCTGGCCCAGGACACAGCGCGCGACACACTACGGGACTGACTGGGGCGGCGCACCACGGCGCCAGCCGTAAATGAGTTGGCAACGAGGCAACTCTTATGGGCAACTATCGGCCAGTTAAGTGTTATCGTTACATCGTAATTGAATAGAGGTATTCGTGGTTCAAGATTTTCGTGCTACAAAATAAATTACAGTCGGTTCGTTTGGTGATGATGATTATTTCAGATTGCTTTGCTACTTCAAATCCCGATATAATTGCTGTCCGTCTGATCCCTCCCAGCCGCGGCACGACCATCACTCCCCGTCTGGTGATAATGTATTCCAGCCCGGGGGTACGGCGGCCGCTCCAGTTGGTCATCTCGCAATCGGGCGCGACCGGCGGTCACCGCAGGGCGGCGCCCGCCCCGCCCCGGTGGCCGGGCAGTCCGCCGCCGCCGGCCGATGAAAGTGCGAGCGAACAGAGGTCGACAGGAGGTGCCCTCAGCCGACCGAGGTCGGGAGGCTCCCCTATCCTGTCAGCCGGTGCCGCAGCACCAGAGAGGTGCGACGGTACCGGGGCACCTGTGACACTTCAGCTACCGCACGGCACACAGTCACCGATTCAGGCAGCCAGGCATGGGACGGCCGTCAGAGGAGTGGTCACATTGCTGGGTCGATTGGCAGAATCGTGCGGTCCAGCCCACAGCTGCGAGCAGCTCCATCTCTGAGTGCTCGGAGAATGTCTCAGGTTGCAGGGGGCAGTTGACGTCTGACCTCGGCTCCAAACCTATCGGAGCTGTTATCTCGCGTGCCTTATGCATGGCTCCACTAAAAGGATTCGCCAATGCTGGGATATCAAGGTCGGCTGGGGGCACGGTATTAGCATACCGGGGCGATCTCCTGGCCGGACTTGTACGGCGCTCTGAAGGAGATCGGGCTACTTTGTCGGCACGATCTGGCTCATCACTCAGCGCCGACACGTACGGCCGCCCCCGCCCCCGCCGCCGCCGCGGCAGGGAGGAGCGCCGTGAGAGGGCGGCGGCCGCCCATTCCGCTTCCTTCCCGGACTACCCCGCCGGCTGATGACGGGGCTGGCCGGCGCGTGACTGGCCGGCGCCAGGCAGTACCGGCCCCAGCACCACCGGAACAGAGACCAGACCTGTCAGCCGCCGAGCCGTGACCATTCAGGGAACAGGGAGCAGCGAGAACAGGACTCCCCGCATCTCAAACTGGTTTGATGTGAACCAATAAAAGACAAAGCATGTCGCATCAATAGAGCTTTAGAGCATCTCTGATTGACAAGTTTCCGTATACAGGTTATGTTTGCATATATTTTGATTGAATCATTTAACCTGTTTACGGAATCGTTGGTGCTCGTCAGTACGCCCCCGCGCCGGCACCGCGTTAACAGCAGGTGTGTGTGGGCTGCCGGAGCTGCCCGGCTGACGTCATCCCCCCTCAGAGAGATGAGGGGGGACAGGTGTGGGCGGCGGCGGCGGCTCCGCCCGGCCGGCTGTCTCCCCTCCGCAGGGAAAGACCTCCCCGAGGCCGACCTTGGGGCAGGGGTCACTCGTCCCACGCCTCTGCACTGCCGTGAGGTTACCGCAGATCGGCACAGAAAGGCAGTCTGGTGGCGATCGCGGCGATTACGGGCGATTGTGGGCGATATGACGGGCGATCGCGGCAGCCCCGGCGCCAGACCGTGACGCATGGTCGTACGGCCGACGGTGGAATGCGGCGGAATCCGCCGGAACGACTCATACCGGTCGGTGGCGCAATGAACGCACCGACAATGGGAATTGTCACCAAAGGCTTGTCGCCTCGGTTTCTCCCGAACGTGGTTCAACTTTTACTGATGTGCCTACAAGCTCACACGTACTGAAATACTATTGGACGGATGCGACGGAGCAAACGCAATCCTGAAATGTCTGTAATACGCCGCTATGGCATGAATGTTGTAAACATAAATTTAGCCAGCATTGTTTAGACATCAGCCAAATGCCACTGAGCAGTGAGCTAATCCGTCCGGTTTGTTTCCTACCGGCGTCAACAGGTGTTCAGTTCTGCTCTCGGAGGAGACTGCAGTGACTCACAGGAGAGTGGCTCTCCGGCCGTCGGCTCATACTAGCCGCACCCGGTTCGGCCGGCGAACAGACCAAATCGGGGCACACGGAGGGTGGCACCGGGACACCCCGCCCCTCCTCTGAGGGGGGGGGACGTCCGAGCGGTCTCCGGAGAGAGGGGAGGGGCCGCCGGGCGCGTCTCGGAGCGTCCGAAATGACGCCGAGGCCGACCGCACCCCATGGCAGCGGTGTTGTAACACGACCGAAGACCGGCTGATGGTCAGCCCGCCCCGCCCCGCCCGGCCTGTCCCCTCCGGAGCACGCGACCCGGCGGCCGCTGACCGGTCACGTGACCGCCAGTGAGGCAACCGTCTCGGCCGCTCAGTACCGCGGAGGGGAGGGAGAGGAGGCTCCAGTTGCAGACAGGTCCGCGAAATGGGCCGGAGCGCGGCAGGGCGCGGCCCGCGGCGGTCCCGAGAACGGCCGCTGCTCCGCAGAGTGGCCTATGAACTCAGGGAGCCGCCGCCTTCTCCCTGAGCCCGCTGCAACACAGTGTGCCAACTGGACACTTTACGGCCTTTTTGCGCACGAATTTAGAAAAGACCAGCTGTTGGCTGCCCGGTTGGTAGCCGTCGTTTACAATGACTGCGTGAACCGAGCCATAGCTGTCATGACTGGTCGCCATCACCCGCGGCGGTGGTGCGTGCTTTGTGAGGGCATTGTTCCGCGGAGTTTGAGATAGTTTAGATGACGCCACCCGGCGGCCCGGCCCGGTGTGACCGCGTGAAGAAACACCGATCGCTATCGCCGTCTGGGGCAATCACACCCGAATTAATGAGTTCAGATGCCAATCGCAGGTCGGTGGCGCTTAATGGCGGGTGTCGCTATAAGGGAAATGTGAAATAGGTCATTAGATGAACCACCAGCGGTGTCAAAGTCAATTACTCAATCGTCGCATTTTTGGGGAAAGTTTGGGTGCGTTAGTGTTCCAGTAAATTTATTGAATGTATTCCTTGAAAGAAAATGGAATCAAACTTCTCTAATATCGATTGAAATAATTTTGCAAACATTTTTATATCCTCACAATTAGCTGCAATAACAGCGTCACTGAGTCTAGCTTTGTAAGCAAAAACTTTCTCATGAGCGTCAAATTGGACGGCATAATTGGTATCGAGCATGAAGGTCATTTCGCGACCTTTTAAATTTTGTGAAGCCAGAGGTAAAATAAACGATTTACAGCTGCATTTATGCAACCGCAGTGACAATCTCGCGCTTGGCAAAACATTTGGATCACCGCTCTGTGGGTAATTGGCCGAGAGACCGTTGCGAAAAGGTTAACTACCACCGACAAGCCCGGCATCACAGCTCCTCTGCGCACGTTATGGTATATGGCTCATGACCAGCGCTCGGAACGTATGACTTCGTTGAGAAGATACGGGCGGATTCACACCAGAAAACGAGACAATTTGACGGTGTTTAATAGCTAGGAGCGTGAAATTATGGCGGGGGACCCCTTGCCATTTAACGGTAGCGCTATATGAAGATATTGTGCGATGGCACTGTTCTCAAAGCATGACGTTATTATGTTGCTCAACAGTGACAGTTTATATGTCTCTTGAGTAAATGCAGACCATAACTGCTTGTGATGCACGATTTCAAATTTTTAATGCTGTAAGTTGCAACACCAATATTTCATTGCCCAACTCTGACAAAAACAGAGCTGACGATGACAGTTGTGGTGTTCGCGAAGCTGTTCTTCCCACGCAGTAATGTTACGGGCGTATCTATACGTGTAAGGCAAAATCCACATTTACTTTCTCTTCCGCCTACTTCTGCAAAACATTATACGTTGTTCGCTCGCCGCCCAGCCGGCTCAGAGTGGCGTCAGATCGTGGACGGGTTTGGCTCGGCGGGGTCTCGTGGGGCCCACCGCGGACCAGAGGGGGGTCTAGACGACAGGAGCTGTCGGCCAGAGGACCGTCTGCCCAGATGTATTGGAATTGCAGACTAGTTGCAGGCCTCATGAGTTGCACGATTTGGATCGTCACTCTGCATATTGCACACAGGTCCTGCCAAGGTCGGTGTGCAATGCGAACCTCGTCTCGAAGGGGAGGGGGTATTCAAGTACTTTGTTGAGACACTAGAATTATGTATGTAAGCTGAAGCGGAAGAAGACTGAGCTGCAACGGCAATGATTTGAAATTCATTCAGTTACTATATAAATATCTTGAAAGGATTATAATTTTCAGTACGTTTTGCAAAAGTGTATCACTTCGATTGATGGCTTCTTATTGCGATACTTTTCGAGGGCAAGTACTGTATTTTGGAATAGTTATGAAAATAAAATAAAGTTTCATTATCCGAATCTTAGTTCACATAAAGCAACTACGCAAAACTATGAGAGTGGATATCCTACCTTACTTGCTAAAGGAGCTTTATGGGGAGCACTGCATTGCTCATTTCAAATTTGTGTTTCATTAGTTCATCATTTGAATGTGTTTCACTTTCAAATTGCTTTCCCTTTCTATCCTGTTGAATGTGAATCAAGGACAATTCTAATATGCAGCGCATTGGATGCATTGCAAAGCAGTTATAGTTAGACGGAGTAGACCATACGAGTATAGGTATGCCCTAACTGAATAGGATGAATCGCTTTTTCACTACTTCCATAAGATTTATTGCATTTTGAAATAGTATTTGTGCGAGCTTTATGATAATGACTGATATAGACATAACAGCTCTGCATCAAATGTCTGCAAAGCTCAAATAGTTTTTTAACCTTTTCGCAGTTAAGTAAATTAAAAACGGTACACGGTACAATACATCGAAATAATATTAGCTGAAATATATTCTTGCTTATCAAAGAAGATATTCGGAGCCGGAAAAAATTGATATTTAAATGTTCGTAAGCGTATTTCAGAGGGGTAAATGAAAATGGGAAAGGTTGAAAACGATTTTTAAGTAAAGCGATTCACGCGTTTCGTACAAAAAATTTCATGACATTTTTATGGAATAATTGAGGAGGTACCTTTAGAAAAGTTACGAGTATTGTAGAGTTTTTAGCACAAGTTGAACACACTCGCTGGATTCAGCAGACACTCATGCACGATCGGGCGGCAGTAGGTGACCTCTGACCGAGTAGGTACTCTGCCTGGAACACTGCTGGCACTGGACTCCGGTGCGGGACTCACCTGATTCTGAGTGAAGTGACTGAGGAGATCACGGAGGTCCGATCGCGGACCACAACCACTGCCGAGTGTGCTGCTGGCCCGGCGGCCGGCGCCCTTATAGGAGGCGTCGCCGCTCGGCCCGCCGCCGGCTGCTGACCTTCAGAGACCCGCGGCGCGGCCGGCGGCCCGGCTCATCTGGAGCACACTGCACGCGTACCGGTCACCGACCAGGGGGCGGGGGGGGGGGGATTCGCCGCGACTGGCGGCATCGAGTGGACAGGTGACCGTCCCCGCCCGGGTCAACGCCGCCGGGCGGGTCACGGCTCGACTGCCGGGGTCACTGACTGGCCGGGTCACCACCGTTGGGGGAGGGGTCCTGGATAGACTATCACCATGCGTCGGGAGGGTCACTGCCCGGGTCACAAACGCCGTGTATGACACTGGGTCTAAGTGCGGCCGGGAAAGGTCAGGGAGGGCTCGGGTCACCGCTATGGGGTGGGTCACTGGCCAGGTCACGGTACAGCCGGTAAAGGCTGCAGGGAGATCCCCGAAGACGGGACAATACCTATGGACAATGAAGGATGGAGAGAGGGGGCTTATTACGGTACATACATGCCTACGGGCGATTAAGCATGGAAAGAGAGGACTAATTATCGTTCAGCATTGCCAGGACAGATAGAGGAGGGCAGTGTGGCAAATTGATGACGAGAGGTGGTGGAAGTGATATCGATGCCCCTCTCAGCAGGCGCATTGAAGATTAAATTGCTGAACGCAGCTGCATGGTGGGTGGTACCTAAGCCGCTCGTGCTTGCTTCTATTTCTCGGTTGATCTGGTTTATTGTCAGTGGAAGTCACTGAGCGGGACGAGTCTCCCAGGTGCGTGAGTTATGCTAAATAAGCAGCCTAAAATTAGACCAACCAAACCATGCACATTGCCCCAAAAGACGGTAAATAACTTTTGAAAATACCTATCTCCAATTTTAGTGTTTTCTGGACCAAAATTTTGCAAGGAATCCGATGGTGTGGTCCCCGAGATCCGAAAAATTTCCATTTTGGAGATAGCAGCTATTTTTTGAAAAATAAATATTCGTCAGGCATAATAGTCAAATAAATTGAAAATATAATGAGTTAATATTTGCAACAACACTAGAATGTGTCGAACATGAATTAGAGATATATTTTAGCTGAGATGATACTATATCTGCGCATACATGTACATGAACTAGTACATTAACCCTCGTCGGCCGAGAAGGGGTGGGGCGGGTGCCGCCTCATAGGGCTTTTCGCGATAGCTTAAAACTTGCTTAGGGTAGACAGCTGAAACTTGGTATACCTAATAGGGTGTGTCGATAGTCGCAGATTCGCGTTAGACAAAGATATAAACTGGCGCGAGCATACCAAAACACTAGCCCTGCAGTTGGTTTTGCGTAAAAATGCGATTTGACGAGGCTCGGGCAGGTCGAAGTTACAGCGAAAAAGTCGCAGTCGACAGTGCTGCCACCTACATTGCCAATAACGGGCACTATCATATCGTGATAATTGGGGTAGTTTCAAATGAGAAATGACTTCTATTTTTGTTCAAACTGCTTAAGAAGAAATAAAACTTTTCGGAAACACACATTTTTCCCAAATATCGCGTTCCATTTTTTCCTGTTGAGTTGTTAGGAAAGTGGTAAATTTCAAGGTTGACGGCTAAAAAACGAAACAGGAGGAACAGAGCAGGAATCACCAAGACGTGTGCCGCGCCGATGCTGTAGCCTGTAGATAAGGGGTGAGCAACAGAACCAGCATACCTAACGATTTTGATTACTGATAGATATTTTTCTCTAAATGGAAGACTATTAGTAACTCAGGCAAGCCTTCTAATATAGGTATCGACAGGGTTGCGGTAAAAGGTACAATCGATGGCACATTACAATTATTCTGAGTTGGGTAACAACACTCTTCAGATACCTACCATCAACAACCTCACTATCTCCTATATGGGAGCTATATCATCTGATTCCAGCGCCCTGAAAACAAACAGGTTATTACCAAAAATCTCTATATTAGCGCCTACCGACATACGCTGAATGACGCTATCAATACCCGACATTTGTAAAAGGTGATTCGCCACACAGCCCGCCGGCGTCTGAGGGGTTGAATAAGTGAGCCAGATTGCCAGCGACTCACCGCTGAACTACCGGGCATAACAAAACGGACGATGCGACATGACTCAGAGATCATTACAGACGCAACGAAAAATGTAACCGAAGGCCATCTGAGCTGTTGTTGTTGTTGTTGTTGTGTGTTCCCTCCAGCCGCGTCACCGCGGTGTAGCCGTGCGGCTCTGGAGGTCCCTCACGGCGGCCGCCAGGGCCGCCACCTCTCCGTCGTCGCGGACGTCTTCCGGGTTCAGGAAAATCGTTCCGTACATCCGGAGACGCCAGCCCATGAGGGCCGGGCACCGGAAGAAGAAGTGCCGGGGCGTGTCGGCCTCCTCCCGGCACACGGTGCACCGGCCCGCCGCACAGTCGATGTCAGGGCACTGGCGGCAATCGTCGGAAGGGATATGTCCAATCCGGTGAAGGTATTGGCGGGATCCTGACCAGTGGCCCGCGCGGAGTTGATGGACGTCGACGGCCGACGATCTGTCCCCCGCCGCTGCCGGTGGCGGCAGCCGGTTCTCCATCAGGGTCCGGTACCAGCCCTCCGGCCAGGCGGCGATGGTGCGGTCGCGGGCCAGTCTGGCGGCCCCGCGGTGGGCGGTAGCGACGTCCACCGGGACCGCCGCCTGGGGGAGCGCGGTCGCCTCCTTGGCGATCTGGTCGGCGCGCTCGTTTTCGTCGACGCCGCAATGGGACGGCACCCACTGTAGGTGGATCCGGCGGGACGGACCGGCCAGGGCCGCTAGTTCGGTCCAGATGGCGGCTCCTAGCAGGGTCTTCTGGGACGCCGGGCCCTCTCTCAGCGTCGCGAGGGCCGACTGCGAATCCGAGCAGATGGTGATCGGCGCGCTCGGCTGGTGCGGGTGGTCGCGCAGGTGGTTCAGGGCCGCGCGGAGTGTGACCATCTCCGCCCTGAAGCTCGAGCAGAGTTGACCGGCAGGGACGCGTAGCTCGTCGGTTGCACCGTCCGGCCACTCCACAAAGGCTCCTGCTCCTCCGCTGCGGACTCCCGCATCCGCCGACCCATCCGTCCAAACCCAGATGGCTTGCTGGGGGAGGGACGCTAGGTGTCTCTGCGCCGCCTGGTGCAGTTCGTCAGGTGGGGCGTCCCGCCGCAACGCTCCGATGTCCAGGGAGAATGTGACGTGTGGGCAGGCGGCCACCTCCCACGGCGGCGCGCGGGCGGGCAGCAGGGGCTCGATCGTGAGCACGATCCCAGCAGCCCGCCAGGTGTCGTGCCCCACCCCGCCCCATCTGAGCTCGTGCGGAACCCTCGTTCAGATACGTAATATCGCTATCTGCCACCTCGCGGTTCCCTTGTCAAGCCGATCTCATAGGCGGCGGAACGGGGAGGGCACCGCGGCACCGTGCCCCCTTTGATTTTGGCATTTTAACATTAGCCCTATGGGCGTTGCATGGAATGAATGGGACCAAAAGTCGGCAGTGCTCCCCTTAATTGAAGGTATTCCGCCGCTACTGGCCGAACTGATGACACGCAATGGCCAGTCAGTCACAGCTCAGCTTCCTGCGGAACACAGGAAGACACATTCAATGAGAGTCGGTGGTCATTGATTGTGTCAATATTATTGACATGGTGACTAAAGAACGGTTATATTGCGCCAATACTGTTACCAGTAGCAGCACCACCAATCTTTTGAACTAAAACTACTTGACATCGGTAAAAAGAAACCCTCTAGCTTTTTTCAAGCAATCCGTGAAATAGAGGGGATTAGAAAAACCGAAAACCCAAATATTAGCACTAGATAACATAGATCTTAAATTTTGGCCAACATTTTTAAAGCATAGGTACATCAGAGGAGCTGTTGGCGGCTTACCGTCGCGTCTGTGATGATCTCTGAGTCATGTCGCATCGTCCGTTTTGTTACGCCCGGTAGTTCAGCGGTGAGTCGCTGGCAATCTGGCTCACTGATTCAACCCCTCCGACGCCGGCGGGTTGTGTGGCGAATCACCTTTTACAAATGTCGGGTATTGATAGCGTCATTCAGCATATGTCGGTAGGCGCTAATACAGAGATTTTTGATGATAACCTGTTTGTTTTCAGGGCGCTGGAATCAGATGAAATAGCTCCCATATAGGAGATAGTGAGGTTGTTGATGGTAGGTATCTGAAGAGTGTTGTTTCCCAACTCAGAATAATTGTAATGTGCCATCGATTGTACCTTTTACCGCAACCCTGTCGATACCTATATTAGAAGGCTTGCCTGAGTTACTAAAAGTCTTTCATTTAGAGAAAAATATCTATCACTAATCAAAATCGTTAGGTATGCTGGTTCTGTTGCTCACCCCTTATCTACAGGCTACAGCATCGGCGCGGCGCACGTCTTGGTGATTCCTGCTCTGTTCCTCCTGTTTCGTTTTTTAGCCGTCAACCTTGAAATTTACCACTTTCCTAACAACTCAACAGGAAAAAATGGAACGCGATATTTGGGAAAAATGTATGTTTCCGAATTGTTTTATTTCTTCTTAAGCAGTTTGAACAAAAATAGAAGTCATTTCTCATTTGAAACTACCCCAATTATAACGATATGATAGTGCCCGTTATTGGCAATGTAGGTGGCAGCACCGTCGACTGCGACTTTTTCGCTGTAACTTCGACCTGCCCGAGCCTCGTCAAATCGCATTTTTACGCAAAACCAACTGCAGGGCTAGTGTTTTGGCATGCTCCCGCCAATTTATATCTTTGTCTAACGCGAATCTGTGAGAAAAACCCCTCTGTCGACACACCCTAATACCTAATCTTTTATTCAAACTGGATCTTTTGACCTCAACTGCGTTTTCAGGTCAGGTCAGGTCACTGACCTATGACGTCATAAATAAACCTCTGCGAAGTCCTCAGATGTTGCAACTTTGCAACGCCCTCAGTGCCAGAGGAACTTTCACAGGAAGATGAAAGTTACAGGACGTAGTATCCTTCTGAGGTCTCACAACTTGTTTATCTCGGATTTAACTTAAATGTCACATGAGGTCAGGTCGGTCACGTGACCTCACCATTATAAGTCAATGGGGGAAATATTGAAACTGTTATTTTGGCGCCGGAAATGATCTAAAACTATCCCAAGCACATGGAATCGTGGTTTCATGATCGGACCTTACAAAGAGTGCATGAAACCACGATTTCATGTGCTTGGGACAGTTTTTAGACAATTTCTGGCGTCAAAATAACAGTTTTCATATTTCCCTCCATTGACTTATTATGGTGAGGTCACGTGACTGAACTGACCTCATGTGACATTTGGGAAAAATCTGAGATATACAATTTGTGAGACCTCTAAAGGATACTACGTCCTGTAAGTTTCATCTACCTGTGAAAGTTCCTGTGAAAGCTCATCTTCCTGTTTTCCCTCAGCGTGTTTTGAGCTATCGCGAAAAACCCCTATGAGGCGGCATCCGCCCCACCCCTTCTCGGCCAACGAGGGTTAATGTACTAATTCATGTACATGTATGAGCAGATATAGCATCATTTTAGCTAAAATATATCACTAATTCATGTTCGATACATTATAGTGTTAGTATAAATATGCACTCATTATATTTTCAATTTATTTGACTTTTGTGC